GTGGAGGCAGGACTCTAGAAGTTTCTGTGGTACCATGCGAATGCCCGTCACATATCTGCGACTGCGGACATGCTTTGCACACCTGCCCAGTCCACATGATGGTGTAATTCTGACAAAGGCAGCTTTCCTTGTGTGGCTCTCCTCGAAGCAACGCATTTCATTTCAGTGAGAGAACCTGAAGAGCTGCTCACCTTAGGGGATGGGACAGAGGTTAGATCCAGGATCCTGTGTTTGGAATCGGTGGGTAGAAATAGGGACAAATGCAGCCCCAGGCCGTGTTGTCCATGCACTCATTCCCGAAGTTTCTTTGTGACTTGCTTTCCTCTCCCTTCGTGGCACAATGGAAGAGAGAACCTGCCTCCCAATGCAGGAGATGTGGGTTCGATCCCTGGGTCAGGGAAGATCTGCTGGAGGAGGAAACGGTAACCCACTCTAGTATTTTTGCCTGGAGAATCCCATGGACAAAGGGGCCTGATGGGCTGCAGTCCATGGAGTCAGAGAGTCAGACGGGGCCGAGCACAGAGCATACAGCACAGGGGAAAGGAGTAAACAGGGAACAGCCGGAATGCCTGGCTGTGTGTGGTTTTAGAGATTTCATGGAGGGCTGGGGCTCTGCTTTCCTTAGCGAGCACGTCACGTCTGCTTTCCGATGCCCAGTTGGGCTTGGAGCCTGGTGGACAGCGGGTAAGTGCCGTGGAGGCCGTGGCTCTAGGTGTCGAAGGAGTTGCACCCATCACTGCCTGTATGCTCCGTGTCACAGGCCCTGGAAAGCGAGGTTCAGGGTGAAGGAGTGGCTACACGGCTTCCCAGGCTCCCCGTGTCTCCGGGGTGACAGGCAGCCCTGCGGCTGGAACCTGGCCCCTTTGGAATGTTCCTGCCCCCGGGGGCTCCTCAGACCCAAAGGCGAGCACTAGCAGAGTCGACTGCAAGCTCACGTCTTGCAGAACTGCCTTAAGAATTCCCAGGGAGATGTGAGGCTTGGAAATGCAGGCAGAAGGAAGGAGAACCCTACCAGGCCCCAGGTGGAAGCACATTTTCTGTTGTTTCTCTGGGAATCAGACCAGCAACCTGTCAGCTCCAAGCCCCTCATTCCAGCACTGCTTCTGGGGCACACGTGCCCTCCTTGACACACTCCTGCTGCCTCGCTTGCCCCCTACCCCCACTCCGAGAGGCCTCCACCTTGGGGCATCATGGTGGCTGCCGTGGGCCAGAACCGGGCCCACATTCAGCTCCTCCGTGGAGGCTCCCTCCCTTCTCTCAGGATGAGTCAAGTCTTTGTTTCTGAATAAAGCAAAGGTGTCTCGGCATCTCCGGTAGATGTGGTAGATGCTTCTAGCTAGGTTAGGCCACTAGGTTGTGGCCTAACTGCTGTTGCCTGTTATCTCAGAAGGGGTGCAGGCATCAGCCTCCAGGCTGGCCCCCCTAACTCTGCCACTGTCCCTGGCACGGCAGGCCCAGCAGGGCTCCTTTCTGAATTGCATCCCCCTGGACCTTCTGCATTTGGGGTGGTAGCCTCCTCCCAGCTGACCTCCCCTCTTCTTCCTGCATCTGTGCACACAGCATCCCTGCAGCCAGGCAGCTGTGAGAAAGCACACGGAAGCCATCTCTCACCCCTCCTCTGCAGATTGCGGGCGCCAAGGATGGAACTGCCTGTCCCTTATGTAGCCTGCCTGGCCCAGCTGGTGGCCATTGCTGGGGCCACAAGGAGCCCTGCACTTGGCCAATCCCCTGGCCAGGAATTTGGTGGCACTGAATGCAGTGGCCCCCTGCTCTGTCCCAGGCCAGGAGGGGCCCACAGCCCATTTACTAGCACTTTGATTCCTAGGCACACACGTGCAGTGGCAAAACCCAGACAGTGCGAGTCTTCATAAACCATGCAATTAGAGAGGAGACTTGGAACGAAGTGTGGGCCTCCCGGTTAATTCATTCTATCTTGAGCCTTGGGCTTCACAGGTGACGCTAGTGGTCAAGAACTTGCCTACCAATGCAGGAAACATAAGAGACAAGGGTTCGATCCCTGGATCGGATCGGGAAGATCTCCTGAAGAAGACAATGGCAATCCACTCCAGTATTCTTGCCTGGAAAATTCCATGGACAAAGGAACCTGGCAGGCTACTGTCCATGGGGTTGCAAAAGTGGACATGACTGAGCGTGTGCACACACACACACGCCATACGCATACAAGCCAGAACAAGTGAGTGGCTGGGGTTACACTGCAACTCAGCCTTGAGCACTGCCCCCTCGGCTCACCCCCATCATTGGGAAGAAGACAGCTGTCTCTCGGGAAGGGGAGGGAATGTGGGGAGGTCAGCCTCTAGAGAATGTCGTAGGCTCCCTCAAGACACACAGGACCACGCAGAGGAGCCATGGCTGCTATGTTCCCAGAAAGTGTTCCCTCGAGGGAACCAGAGTTGAGGACAGTGAGCCCTGGTCGTCCTCTGAAATCTGACTGCAGGGTCTTCCTGGGCTCTGAGCAAGTCTTCCCATACTTGGCGCCTGGCCGGTCTGGAACAGTGGACCACAGGCATACTGTGTGTGCATGGTCCTGTCTGAGCAAGGGCCTGGGAGCAGACTGTCAGTTTCGGGGCCGCCCACTCAGCCACCATGATTGCGTGCCCCACGCACCTGATCACAAGCAGCTTGCACACCTGGTGCCCTGCAACCATCAACATAAAGCACGTGACAGAGAAGCCAGAGGAAGAAACAGGCACAGAGAGCTGAAACTGCCTGCACTAGTGCCCAGATGTCGAGTGGCTAGAAACCTCCCCTAGAAGGCAGCAGAGAAGGCCACCTCTGCAACTCCGGGTGGCAGAGCTAGGATTCAGCATTCTGCCACCGAGAAAATGAATTTGAGGGCTTGATCGTGTGCAGCCCTCACTGGGGGCCAAGTGCTGAGCCAAGGGTCTCATAGCATCAGCTCACTGGCCTACCCTCTACCCTCCTCTCAAGCGTCCAGCATGGAAACAAATATACATGTCCACTCATCCTGCCGCCGGGAAAAATAAGCCCCTAGCTCTGGACCCCAAGAGCTAGAGTGAGGCTGTGTACAAAAATAAAGGACCTCTCCTGGAGGTCCAGGCTTGGGATGGCCTGAGCCCTCCTGGCCCCACCTCTAAGGCTGCAAGCTGGGCTGGATTCTTGCTGTTTGCTGGGTTGTTTTAAAGTGAGGGCTGGTCAGGAAGTGGCATGGGAGGCCCCCAGCACCGCGGTGAAGAGATGACATTAGTGCCTTTAGGGGAAACAACTCTGCTGTCATCCCATGCCCCCCCCCAAAGATGTCCTGTTACAAAAGCGGTAAATGCCATCAACAAAGACAGTGTCTGCTGGTTCAGTTATGAAGCACAGCATCCACTCAAGCTAGTTTAAGAAGAAAAGCATGTTTTACAGGGTACTAAACAGCCTGTCGTCACTGGGGAGGCTGATGGAACAGCCTGAGTTGGGATTTCAGGAATGATCTCCAAACCGTACTGCAGAACCATGTGACCAGGGGAATGTGCACCAGCAGTCAGCTCCAGAGATGACAGTTCTGCCACCTCCACGGTGAGGATGCTGCCACTGCTGCCAGCTCTGGATCCATGCTGCCCTGCTGTGGTCCACACCCACAAAATGGAAACTGGGACTCCAGGGCTTCTGCCATCACTCCTCTTGTCAGCAGAGAGAATAGATGCCCAGCCTCTGCTTGCACTCTGCTTTCTGACACCAGTGCGTCACCCCAGAGGACCTGGAATTGTGTGTGGAATCCTAGCTGCAAAGGAATCGGGAAGGACAGCATGGCGTCTGGAAGGAGATTGCTATCTGAGCCATAGTGTACAGCAAAGGGTGATGGCTGGGATTTAGCCAAGTCCACTAGGGGACTTAGGGAAGATGATCCTGCAGAAGTAACATTGCAGGCGAGGCAAAGGAGGATCTGACTTGCATAAAAACCTGGGCAAGATCACAGTGCTGAGAGCAAGCCCACCCTTAGACACTGACTCGGTGGAACAGGAGCACAGCCCAGCTGGCTGCTGCCTCCCCGTTGTCGTCTTGATAGAATTCTCCAGTGTGCTTTAGATACGTTGGATTCTCTTTGTTTGATCTTTGAGAGAAACCTGTGAAGCAGCCCGACAGGTGTTCTTATCTTGTGCAGCAAAGAGTAGGGTGAGGCTCAGGGAGGATAAGCCACTTTTTGCAAGTTGCCTGACTCGCTGGATGTGGAGCCTCCAGCCTCTGTCCCCAACCCTTCCCACCTTCAGCAGCCTGAAGCTGCTCCCGGCTGCTACTAACCGCTACTCTTTCAGTCTGATTCAGAACAGGAAAGCAGCGCGCCTTTCCTCAGTGGGGACAAGCCTGGTCACCTCTCTGACCCTCTGTTTCCCCCTCCATAAGGTTAGGGTGGCTGGAAGTCACTTGCAAACTTCTTTTGGCAGTGGGAGGCTTCTTTCAAGAGAAGTGTTGTGCTGGGACTTCCCTGGCAGTTCAAGTGGTTAAAACTCCTTGCTTCCGCTGCAGGGGGCCCAATTTCCATCCCTGATCAGGGAACTAGTATCCCACACACCAAAAAAAAAGTGGAAAGGAACATTGCACGTATCTACATATAAGACAGAAAACAGTAGAGCTGCTATGGTTGCCACTGGGTGAGATCCAGTCATCCCCCATCCCACCTCCAGCCCCTGGAATATCCTCGCTGGGGGCTCACCTGGCTTTGGCACCCAATGAAAGATGGAGCTTCTTTGCTTGAACCTGCTCACATCATCACAAACCTCGTGACTGCCTGCCAGGCACTGACTCTGGCGGCCAGGATTTCTAAATGTCGCCTGCTGATGACTGGGCTTTCTTTTCCATCCACCTGAAGGGGTTCTGCCCCGACGGGCTCCTGCATCCGGCAGAGCCCTCAAGGTGGCTCAGGCCTGGGTTCCCCGTTGCTGGTGGTGGGGGTGTTAGAAGTTGGCTGTGACTTGCACGTGATTATGACCCATGACCCATATTTTAAGTAGTGACTCATGTGGCCCGATCTGTTTCAGACCACAGTGATTGACTACGTGAAGCCCTCCGATCTCAAGAAGGACATGAACGAGACCTTCAAGGAGAAGTTCCCTCACATTAAGTTAACACTCAGCAAAATCCGGAGGTAGGTGGGGACAGAAAATCCCACAACAGAGGAGCCTGGCTGGCTGCAGTCCAGAGGGTCGCAAAGAGTCGGACACACGCTGGGGCTGGGCCCCCACCTGAACTTCCCCCAGGCCCCTCCCCCAGCACACCCTGAGCTCATGCCTTGTATGCTGGCTCTCCTGTTGTTCTGGGGAAGTGAAACAGGTCATGTTCAGCTCTAATTAAAGAGGCTCGTCCGATGCTGGCTGACCAGCGCCCGGAAGTGTGAGAGCCGAGGGAGGCTGGACACGAGCTGACAAGGATCTGGGCGTGGGGGAGGAGGTTGCTTATGAAGGAATTTCATACTCTCTGTGGCTCACAGCTCAGTAAGATTTATGTTATGGAAAACTCAGAATAGGAAACGTTCGGTCCCCAGCTTCCTTAAATGCAGGCAAAACAGAAAAGAGCTGGCATCACAGGGTTTGAGATAACTCTCTACCCACAGTCATCCTCCCAGCGATGACAGCCAAGCCCTATCTATAATCCATCAGCAAAAACAGCCAAAGCAAAATCAGGCCCCAATTTCCCCTGCAGCAGATTGGATCAGCCTTGCGGTGACCCACATCTGCGGGTCTTGCTGGGCTGGAGAGAAGCTGACCTGTGTTGTGGAGACTGTGTGCCAGGACAGCAAGATTTCAGTGTGTGTGTGTGTGTGTGTGTGTGTGTGTGTGTGGTAATGGAGGCTAAACTATACACAAATACAGTGTTGGAACATGTGCCAACATACATGTGAGTACATATCCTAATACTGATTTGATTCCGGCATGTTCCAAGCCAAGAAGTGAGAAAAATTAAGTATTCATATACTTGGTCTGCTGGCCAGGCAACTCTCCTAAGAAGATTGGTTGCTGCANTCCTTTTGCCTTCAATCTTTCCAGCATCAGGGTTTTTCCCAATGAGTTGCTCTTTGCATTAGGTGGCCAAAGTATTGGAGCTTCAGCTTCAGCATCAGTCCTTCCAATGAATATTCAGGGTTGATTTCCTTTAGGATTGACTGGTTTGATCTCTTAAGTGTGTTGGCCACATATAACTATCTTGATTATAGAGATCGACTCCCATTCCACATCACCCTTTTGTGGTTGAGAAAGAGGAGATGCTTTCGAGACAGGATAGTCTTTTTCTTTGCAGTCCCCCGAAACTCCACATTCTAACAAGACTCTTCCCTCTTTCCCACCTTTCTGTAGCCTGAAACGAGAGATGCGGAAGCTCGCCCAGGAGGACTGTGGCCTCGAGGAGCCCACGGTGGCCATGGCATTTGTCTACTTTGAGAAGCTCGCCCTCAAGGGAAAACTGAACAAACAGAACCGGAAGCTTTGTGCCGGCGCTTGCGTGCTCTTAGCGGCCAAAATCGGAAGCGACCTCAAAAAGCATGAAGTCAAGCATTTAATTGACGTAAGTGACCTGAGTCCTGATTGGCTGGAGTGGGAGCATGTGCTCCAGGCTAGCATCTGTCTCTCAGAAAACCCTGACTGGTGACCCTGGGAGAATTCTGATCCTTAGTACCAGCTGAGGGACCAGGACCATGATGTCGGCCCTTCTGCAGAAGCAAATGTCAAAACCCACATCTTGGGCTATCTTAGAACAGAGAGATGGGTCCCTTTGACAAGACTGAAGATCCCTAGTATTGGGTCTGGCCATAAAAATCCATATTCAGGCACCAAGAGGGATGAGATTATTCTCAAAAGCCACAGGAGCCACTATGATGGCCAGGGGTCTTGTGGGCATGGTGACCAACAGTGTCCATCAGTCACACTGGCTCACACCTTGGCCTCCTGTGACCTCGGCCACCTCCTTTTTGGGGAAGGGCGTGGGCTTGACTGAGTGGTAATATCTTCTATTTTTAAAAAAATTTTTATTTGGGTATAGTTGATCTACAATGTTGTGTTAGTTTCAGGTGTAAAGCGAAGTGAATCAGTTATACATATTCATAGTTCGTGCATGTGTGCATGCTAAGTCACTTTAGTCATATCTGACTCTTTGCAGCCCCGTGGACTGTAGCCCACCAGGCTCTTCTGTCCATGGGATTTTCCAGGCAAGAGTACTGGAGTGGGTTGCCATTTTGTCCTCCAGGGGATCTTGCCGACCCAGGGATCAAACTTGCTTCGCTTATGTCTTCTGCATTGGCAGGCGGGTTCTTTACCACTAGCGCCACCTAAGAAGCCCCCACATATATAGTATCCACTCTTTTTTTAGATTCTTTTTGCATATAGGCCATTATAGAAGCAGTGAGCAGAGTTCCCCGTGCTATACAGTAGGTCCTTGTAATTTATCTATGTTATACGCAGTAGTGTGTATATGTCAATCAAAATCTCCCACTGTATTACTCCCTTCCTCTCTCCCTCAGTAATTATAGGTTTGTTTTTTACACCTGTGACTCTATTTCTGTTTTGTACATAATGTACATTTTTTTTAGATTCCACGTACAAGCAATATCATGTGTTACTTGTCTTTCTCTGTCCAACTTCACTCAATAAGACAATCTCTAGGCCCACCCATGTTGCTGCAAATGGCATTATTTCCTTCTGTCTATGGCTAAGTAATATTCCATTGAATATGTGTACCACATCTTTATCCATTCCTCTGCTGATGGACACTTAGGTTGCTTCCATGTCTTACCTATTGTAAATAGCACTGCAGTGAACACTGGGATGCATCTATCTTTTGGAATTATGGTTTCCTCTTGGTATATGCCCAGGAATGGGATTGCTGGGTCTAATGGTAGCTCTGTTTTCAGTTTTTTAAAGAACCTCCGTTCTGTTCACCATAGTGGTTGTACCAGTTTACATTCCCACCAACAGTGTAGGAACGTTCCCTTTTCTCCACACTCTCTCCAGCATTTATTGTTTGTAGACTTTTTGATGTCCTTGCTTTTAAAGTAGAATGTCATCAAAGCAAGGAAACACTGATCTTCTTGGACAGTTATACGAATGCCTGTTTTAAAATTCTGTTTATTCAGGGACTTCCCTGGTGGTCCAGTGGCTAAGACTCCATGTTCCCACAGCAAGGGGCCGTGGTTCGATCCCTGGCCAGGGAACTAGATCCCACATGCTGCAACTAAGACCTGGGGCAGCCAGATAAATAAATAAATAATTTTAAAAACCACTGACATCGTAAGATTATTGAGGGATTAAATGAAGTCATGGGATGTATGCCAGGCTCTGGGCAGCCTGTGGATCCTCAGGAGGTATGAGTCCTTCTGCCCTAGGACTGCGAGCAGGAAACACAGCTGACGCCTCCCTTTCTTCCTCCACGGTCTTGCCCATAACAGGTTTCTGTATAAATGCTGGCTGATGGATATAGGGGCTACACATGGAGAAAACCTAGGATTTTTATTTCAAGGCTAAAAGGCTTTTGATTTTCTTACATTTTGTTGCAGAAACTGGAAGAGAAGTTCCGGCTGAATCGACGAGAACTGATCGCCTTTGAGTTCCCAGTGTTGGTGGCCTTGGAGTTTGCCCTTCACCTCCCAGAGCACGAAGTTATGCCTCACTACAGACGCTTGGTCCAGAGCTCCTAGCACAGGCCTCTTGGGAGGGCCAGGGACCATTCCTTCTGAGCCCGGGGTGGTAGCACCATACTACTGGAAATGCAGAACTAGAACTCGACATAGCAAACTTGTTTTCCTCTCAACATTTGTTTCTGTACAGAAGCCGTACCGGGAACTTTTCAGGGAGTCTTCCATCTGGCTAGACGAGATGGGCAGTGAGCTGATTACTGCTCAACCAGGAAGGGGAGACCCATTCAGAAGATGGCTTCCCCAGCAGGAGCACGAGGCCCCACTGGGACTCCCTTGCAGCCACACCCAGACCTTGCAGGCGTGGTCCAGGGCCTTCTCTCCGGACCCGTTCCAACTCAGAGTGCGAAGTCCTAGAGCAGATCGTGGAAGAGAATTCGTGGAAGTAGGGGGAAAGCTTCTAGAAAATTCCCTCACTGTATCGAAAGAGCGTGCCAATCTATTTTTATAGCCGCTGTTGGAAGTGCACTTTCCCTTGGAGGAGTGTATGGAGAAGCGTGAGAGTCTGTGTGTTTGAGAGATGCTGAATCAGCCTCCACCTGCAAAGCCAGCCCCACCTGTGGACCCCAGCCTGGAGTCATACTGACCTTCGGCAGTTGTTTCTAGATAAATCTCTGGATAACCATCACTCTCTCCATACCAGATGGATATCCTCTGCCCTTAGAAAATCATATAGTTTCTGTTTCTGCCCCCATTACCACTAACGGGACAGAGGCGACAAGTTGTCACTGTCAGACGGGCTGCGTGGAAAGGTGTGGCGTGCGACACTGTGTACCTTTCCACTGTCACACCTTGTGTGTGCATTGAACCTTTGCACTTTTCTCCTGTGGACAGGCTGGGGCTGGGCTCCGTGGTGTGTATTCCTGTGCTCTATGTTAGAGTGCATCACAGGCACATTTCTTGTGCTATCTATCTATATCTATATATATATATATATATAAAGTGTTTTATAAAATCCAGAATAGGGATAAGACGCATGGTTGGTGTCTTGAGACTTTTTGACATCTGGGACAAACTGCCTCTTGAACTGAGGTTGAGTCGATCAAAGAGGCAGCAACTCTTAGCATCACCATGTCCCCAGGGCTGTTAGTGCAGAGGTTTCATTGCAACTTGTACCAATTTACTGGGGCAACCTGCACGGAGGCCTCTCAACATGTCATCACCTCGTAGCTGCTAGAGAGGTGCCTGCTGGGATTCACCTGACACAAGGAAGCCTGTGGCCCTGTAAAAAGAGAATTAAAATATTTTATGATTTCTATACCCGTGTATGTGTAGACACATAAGTCTCAGCAGTCACCCCTCACCATGCATTACGGATGCGTCTGCCACCAGCTCCACCTCAATCCCACACACAGATTCGGAGCTTCTCACCCCAGCGAAGGGATGATGGGGGAACAGAATGTACCCAGCTTTACTTAGTAGGGTTTGAAAGAATCTGACAGTCACAGGTTGGAGGAATTCAAGGAGTGGCGGGGGAGAGAGCAAACAGGACACGTAACCTAGTTTAGTCCTGAGTATTTTGCAAACAGATTTCCTTAACTGCGTTCAGTTGTGAGATGATTTTGTCTGGAGGTACGATGAACATGACCTCTTTGGCCCGGTTTGTCAAATAATAGTTGAAAGTGTTAGTCACTCAGTCATGTCTGACTCTGCAATCTCATGAACTGTAGCCCGCCAGGCTCCTCTGTCCATGGAATTCTCCAGCCAGGTATACTAGAGTGGGTAACGATTCCCTTCTCCAGGGGATCTTCCTGACCTAGGGATTGAACCCAGGTCTCCTGCATTGCAGGTGGATTCTTTATCATCTGAGTCACCAGGGAAATTCTGCAGTGAGGGCCTGCAGGTGAAAGGCCTTACTTAGAAGCCAGGTCACTAGCATCTAGAAATTGCCTGCAGGTGGCTCCCTGCCATCCATCCATCTTGAGTCTCCTGCCAAGCTTGGGGGGACGTCCAGTGGGTGACATGGGCCACCAACCCAGATGTGTGTTGGGCTACACCATGCATCCTCCCCCTGTCTTAAAGTCAGGCTAACATTCTTCGGTTTGGGGCAGTTTGGATTTTGGCATTTAGGAGGTAGACTTAGAAAGTTGTGGGTCTATTTTTTTTAAGACTATTTAAAAGTTTATTTTGACCTGTGGATCTGTTAAGTGAGGAGTTTATTGGTTTTAATTTAGTTGGGAGGGAGGCTTAGAATGAACGATGTTGTCCAGAGCTCCCTTTTTTTTTTTCTTGTCCATTTCATGAGCTTTCTGAAGGGAAAGGAGAACCAGGGTCACTGCTGGGGCCTCCCTGTGACTTGGTGCCTTTCAGTCACTTCCCACCCTCGGCCTTTGGTGCAGAGTCGTGGGGGATGCCTGAGCTGTGTGGAGAGAAGGCAGACTATTCTAGAAGATCCTGAGGCTCTGCCCCCTTCCATCCTCCACCACTGGGGCAAGTTCAGGCCCCTTGCAGGCCCTGCTCCCTGAAGGGCTGCCTGAAGCCCCCTGCAGTTCTCCCCAAGGCCACGTGCGTGGGGAAGCCCACCACAGCCACGTGCCCCTCGGGACAGCAGGAAGCTGCTCCACCTAACTTAGTTTCCCCAGCCTGGCCTGGTGGACTGGGGGTGCCTCTCTTCTGATGGACTGACTGTGAAATCTTGGTAGAGCCGGAAGCCAGCAAAGCAGCCGGCCTGTCCCTAAGCCAGTCTCCTGCCCCCTAAAAGCCTTGGAACCTCAGTCAGTGACACTTAGCAGGGTCCCTCCTTTCCCTTCGACCCGCAGCCCCCCTTCTCAGTCAAACCTACGCTCAAACAAGCAACCCACACACAACACAAAGCTGTTTATTTTCCTTGGCTTTTTTTCCTGATCAGAAACTCCTCTGCTCTTTCTGTGGTCCACTCAGCAGGCCCATTTGGGGCCACCCCTTACCCTACACAAACTGCTCCATAGCACAACCCTGCTTTGCTGATGCGGGCACAGGGGTGGCAGAAGGTGCCAGTCCCCTGCACACCCCAGCAGCACATAGTTCTGTTTACTGCCCTCACTGCTGAACTGTCTCTCCCAGACATTTCCGGTGCAGTGCTGAATGGCCAGCCCTCACCCCCCCACACCCTGGCTGGCTCTATAACTCATTTTCCCTGAAGCCTTCTCGTCTCCCTTGCAATCTGCACGTGAGGAGGCGGGGCGGGCTGGGACAGAGCAGGTTTGAGCCAAGTAGTTTCCTTACCCATTAATTGCAGTATCTGTCTAGCAATAGAAGGAGTTCTTTGAAGAGAAAGGTTTCTGGGGGAGCAGCCCAGGGTCTCCCCTCCTCCAGAGGCAGCCTGAGTTCATCTTGGGGCTGTCAGGACAATTGCTGGCCAGGTCCCAGCTGAGGGCCTGACGGGGGAAGAAAACACCAGGAAAACAGGTGAAAGATCGCTACAGCAATTTCCCTGAGGGAGGTGAGAAAGGCCAACCTGTGCTTTAATAAATCAGGGGTGGCGGGACAGAGAGGGACCTCTTGATCTCTCTCAGAGCCAAGAAAGAGCCTGAGCAGTCAGGCTGGCTCCCCGCACTAGCTCTGACAACCCACACTGCATTAAGACTTCTAAATAGATATTCTAGAAAGTCTGCAAACACAGGGCTGGCTGAACCCTGAAGACATACTGGGTGAGGATGGTGCTGTGTATCATCTCCTAGTTCCATCTTGCTATTCAAAGTGTGGTCTGAGGACCAGCATCGTCAGCATCCCCTGGGGCCTTGTGACACATGCAGAGTCTGCATCTCAACAAGGTTCCATGGACATTTGTATGCATTAAAATCTGAGAGGTACAGTTCCTCCAGATAAGCATGTGCGTGAAAGTTGCTCAGACATGTCCGACTCTTTGCAAACCCATGGACTATAGTCCATGGAATTCTCCAGGCCAGAATACTGGAGTGGGTAGCTGTTCTCTTCTCCAGGGGATCTTCCCAACCCAGAGATGGAACCCAGGTCTCCCGCATTGCAGGCAGATTCTTTACCAGCTGAGCCACTGGAGAAGCCCTAATATAAGCATAGGAAATAAATTTTTTCTGCCTGAAAATAAGATACTACTCATGTACAGGGTTGTCTAAAACAGAGGTAATATAGATGGTTTTGAACACCAAAAGGAACAGTGCCAGTCTCTCACTGAGAGTTAAGTTTTGACACCTGTTTACCTTTTTATGCTTCATCTTACCTTTCTGGGGATGCGTGTGGCCAGAGATGTTTAAGTGGATGAAGCTACCATTAAACTGTAGGTCTCAAGCGCAAAGCCGGCTTACAGGCATCGCTGTATTGGGTGTTGACTAGGGCCGCTCCACGGAGTTGAGGTCTGTATCTCAGGTTCTTGGGTCCACGCACAGGTGGGACATTGCGATGGTGGAGGGTCAGGGTTGCTGAGGGTGCTGGAGCATGGCCCCCTCTACCAGAGTGGGGGAGCTGTACGGTCATGGCCTCGGGACGTTATGATGAATAGATCTCCATTTTGCTAGAACCCAGGTCTCCCGCATTGCAGGCAGATTCTTTACCAGCTGAGCCACTGGGGAAGCCCTAATATAAGCATAGGAAATAAATTTTTTCTGCCTGAAAATAAGATACTACTCATGTACAGGGTTGTCTAAAACAGAAGTAATATAGATGGTTTTGAACACCAAAAGGAACAGTGCCAGTCTCTCACTGAGAGTTAGTTTTGACACCTGTTTACCTTTATGCTTCATCTTACCTTTCTGGGGATACATGTGGCCAGAGATGTTTAAGTGGATGAAGCTACCATTAAACTGATCGTAGGTCTCATACGCAAAGCCGGCTTACAGGCATCGCTGTATTGGGTGTTGACTAGGGCCGCTACACGGAGGTGAGGTCTGTATCTCAGGTTCTTGGGTCCACGCACAGGTGGGACATTGCGATGGTGGAGGGTCAGGGTCGCTGAGGGTGCTGGAGCATGGCCCCCTCTACCAGAGTGGGGGAGCTGTACGGTCATGGCCTCGGGACGTTATGATGAATAGATCTCCATTTTGCTTCCAGACTGACCTTCATTTTTGAGATCCATGTAGCATCTTATAAGATGTGTCTTACTCTGGGTTCGGAAACTCAGGTGACAGCAGGGACCCCAGGGCTGGCCCCTGAGAGGTTTCCAGAGGTCGAAGTGAGACCACTGGAGGCAAGTTGAAGGCAACCTCTCCAGGTGCCATGAGACTGTTCTCTGCATGGACTCCCCCAACAATAAGGCTGCTCCAGACGCGGGACAGCCCGGGAGGGACCTGGAATGCCCAAGACCACAGGGTCAGAAATTGCCAGTCAGAAATCAGCCTGGCACACAGGGGACAAGGTGGGCAAGTAGAGCCTTTGTTTGGTTTAATGAGTGAAGATCAAGAAGACAGGATGAAATCAAGGACTCCTTACTGGGGCACCTGGACAGCTTGGTGAGAAGCCAGAACTTCTACTACATTCGCTCAGTCGTGTCCAACTTATTGAGACCCCATGGACTGTAGTCCACCAGGCTCCTCTGTCCATGGGATTCTCCAGGCAAGAATACTGGGGTGGGTAGCCAGCCATTCCCTTCCCCAGGGGATCTTCCCAGCACAGGTCTCCTGCACTGCAGGCAGATTCTTTACCACCTGAGCCAGCAGACACAGATAATCCCTTGGACACAGTGTTTGTCAAAGGGACTGAATATTTACCAAGCACACAGCCCCTGCCAGCCCTGTGCTTGGCACTTAAAAGTCCATGTTCTTATTTAACACTTAACAAACAAACTGTAAAAATCAGGTATCATGCACCCATTTCAGAGATGAGGAAACTGAGGTTCTGAAAGGTGATTTTACTTGCCCCCGGTCACCCAGCATGAAGTGGCCAAGACAGGAGGTTTCCTAGCCAGGTCTGTCCAAGTCGCAAGCCCAACCAGCTGTGTGCTGTCTCAAGCAGGGATCAAAACAGAGAAGCTGAGAAAGTGGAGAGGCCAGAGCCAGGTGACTTCAGGGGTCACTCCAGACCTGCTGTACTCGAGGCCTCTCAGTTGAGGTGGGGTCTTCTCCCCACACTCCCCCCGGTGGCCGCCATCCCTTCTGTGCAGCTGGGACAATGAATCTGGAGCCCCAAAGTGCAGACCGCCACCATCTCGGGTGTGAGCAGCCTTCATAGCTGACGTGAGACAGAGTTCTGGGCTCTGGGGGACTGTGGGCTTTTGTGGAAATGTGCTTCTGCAACAGGTGAGCTAAGAGGCTTTGAAAAGTAAGCAGAAGAGAGAACTTCCCGACTTCCCGGGTGGTCCAGTGGCTA